TGGAGGGGGTGGAGCTATGGAAATTGGCAACACCTGCAGTTCCCCCGCGTCTGCAGCACCTGCAACGTGCTCACAATTGTCTGTAACTCCAGTTTCACGGAATTTGTCGCCCTCTTTTGGCCTCCTTGAGTACTGCCCTCACATGGTACACTATGGCAATTTGCAACACCTGCAGTTCTTGTAGAAGCCCGTGTCCTCAGCACCTGCACAGCACAGTGCTCACAATTGTCTGTAACTCCGGTTTCACAGAATTTGTCGCCCTCTTTTGGCCTCCTTGAGTACTGCCCTCACATGGTACAGATATATACACTCACCCAGCACTGAGGATACGTGTGCGAAGCAGCTGCTACCATCTCTGTGTTCCCAGAACACACTCAGCCATGGGCTTAGGCTTGGGGCTCCCTTGAGAATCTCAAAAACTGCTGTTGATTGCATTTTCTTCTACTTGGTAACCTCACTTCAAACTCCCCCGGGTGGAGAAAGAAGGGTTAGAGGCCATGGGCTAAGCAGGTGCCTTGGCTTTCCGGAAAGTTCACTAAAATGAAGTTGCTGCTGCTCTCTTTCCTGGTCACCACTTGACCGTTACCCACGGTCATACCAGAGAGGAAATTAGTAGCCGGTCTTGCCAGACGAAGATTTGCCACATGGCTGTTTCCAGGGTCACTTCCTCTATGTGGAATGCAGATCTGCTAGGCCCTGCCCTCAGCTCTCACCTCATACTGATCCCTTTCCAGCCGGGCTGGTCCATCCCTGGTCGCTGTCTTCCACGAGTCCTTGGCATCCCTACATCCTGATGGCTGGGCACCGGAGCATATGTGACCCCAGTTCTTCTGAGAGTCTGTCTGAGCTGAGCGGGACTGGTGTGAGGGAGATTTTCACAAACAAACGAACAAACAAAATTACAGGGATGCTTGGCTTAGAGACAGAACAGTCTGCTAAGACCCTACCGCTCAGAGCTCAGGTAAGGTGTCGGCTCACAGCATAGGCCAGAGCCCCCTCCCCACATTGTGAAGCTTTCTCTCTTTCTAACCCAGCCCCTGTCCCCTGCGTTAGCAGAGATCTCCAGAGGGGCAGAGCCAAATATGCAATATGTATTAGGATACTTCCGGAGGGGCTGGGTAGCCTAACAGTGGCTATCTGCATGCTGAGAACTTCAACAGAGAACTTTGAAACTCTCACTCCATGAAAGTAGGTGCAGCCCCAATCTGGCACTGAAGGCTTGGTGTATGCCCAGAAGAGGTGAAAGAGGCTGGCGTTTGATGTCACTGAAGGATGGTGGTGGCAGCAGCCACCAGGCACACTTTCTTAGGAAGAAGGGAAGGTGGAATAGCACTGCCTTTTCCTGGGACCGTGGTATATCTGGGCCACCCAGTTTGTGGGCAGCAATCCCCTCTATCAGTCACTTCTGGAAAACACCATCAAAGAGGTGTGTCTCCCAGGAGATTTCAAATCATGAAATGATGATGAAGATGAACCACGACACAACCCTAGTGGTCCTGGGAACCCACTGCTCTAAACCATATAAAAAGATCTCATGACAACATCATGAGCAACTGTCACTCTGAAGAGAGCCTCGGGGGACACAGTCTGTCAGCTTTTGTTTAATGAATTGGTGGATAGGAGGGTTTCCCGCTGGGGAGCCGTCAATCCCTCTCCCCAGGGGTTCTGATGGTCTCTAAGCAGGACCTCTGTGTGCATGATCTAGTGGCTGTAAATGAATGGACTGACGAGACATGGGGTACACGGGGTCACAGCGCCGTGTGTGCTGCCTGTGTGACTGCATGGTGTCTGTCTGTCCTTCCACCTTCCAGCCCGGCTAGTCTCTCATGTGGACTCTAACTCTCCTGGCAATGTCCTTGGTAACTGCAGCTGATACCCACTGCTCCTTCTCCAGGCTGCTGAGGCAGATTGGCAGGTCCTCTCTGACAGGTGCTTAGAGCCAGAAAATGGCAACTTCTGGAGAAGCTTCCTGTCTTCCCAGCATCCTGCACGCCTGTTCACCTGAGTTCCCACCCAAGGTCTCAGGTAGACAAGTCTCCCACCTATGGACTTTCGGCTAATGTACACCCTTCTTTATTTATCAATATTACCAAATAATTCTTGTAGCTGTCAATGAGTATACAGTTAGTGAAAAATTATGAAGAGTCTTGATGACTCCTTCCCACGGAGAAGGCAAACAGGGCCACGGGCTTTCTCTTCCTTGCCTAGTCCTAGAGGGTAAGGATGCAGGGGCTGGAGTGACCCTCTTTCTCTGCTCCTGGATAAGGTGTGTCACACACATCCAGGGCATGCCACAGCGCCACCTTCAGGTGAAGCTGAGAACTGCTGGGCACTTTCCAGGGGACAAACGCTGGCAGAGGGACACTGTTGGGTGCAGGGCTCAGCTCCCCGTTTGCATGCATTCAGGCATTGACACTATAGAAAGAAGGAATTGGAAACTGCATTTCAGAAAGCCATGCGGACGATGTGTGCACACAGCTATGTAGGTTAATGAGATGCAACTTATACACATGCTCAGAGTCCACAGGGCAGGGAAGTTGCAGGACAAAGCAAGACGGTAGAAAGTGAAGTAGAGGCTCTCCCCCGAGGGGACAGAGTCTTCTGAGCTGAGGGGCAGGGCTGGTCTCCTCACGCTTCTAGAGGAGGAACTCGGGACAGCAGGAAACCTTGAGACTGAGAGTGGCAAGGAGGGCTGCAGAAGCCAGCAAGTCAGGATGCAGGATGCTGAGCTCAGTGTGGATGCCCAAATGAACTGAATGCTTCTTAAACAAACCGTCAGTGACGGCTAATACTGTTAATTTGACAGGCTCCGGGATCACTCAGGAGAGAAGCCGCTGTCAGGGTATGACTGCGTGGATGTTTCTAGACCGCCCCTGACTCTGGGGTTGCCACGCCGTGGAGCAGGGTCCTGGACGCAGGACAAAGGAGAGAAGGCTCTGAGCACCAGCGCTCATCTCTCTGTGCTCCGTGGCTGCAGACGCCATGTGACCAGTTGCCTTGCTGGCTGCTGCCTTGACTTTCCCGCTGGGATGGGCTGTACCCTTGAACGAGGAGCCCAAAGCATCCTTTTCTTCCTTACGCTGCTTCTTGCTGGGCATCTTCTCACAGCAGCGAGGAAAGTGGCTAATCCAGCACCCTCTCTCAGCTGCAGCAGGCAGGGGAAGCCGAGGTCGGACTGGCTGGGCACCGCCAGCAGGTGTTGGTTCCTTACTATTAAACCTAACTTGACTTGTCCTGTTTCTCAGGAGAATCCCACTTGGGTCCTACCTCTGGCGAGTGCCTCCTGGAGCCATTTCCCCAGCCCCTCCATGGGTTCCATTGCAGTCCACGCGTGTGGCAACCCATGAGATTGCAGTGACTGCCTCAGGCCATACACAGTTAGAGCAACCAGGGCTAGGGCTGAAAGCTCTGACCTGACACACGGCTCTGTTCCCTGTGGAGAAGGTAAATGCCAGCAAGCAACAATGGCCCCATGCCACACTGCTGGCGATGGTTACAGGGCTCTGCTAACCCACTGAGAGAGACCAGGATGGAGCCTGTCATTCAGGAAGCCAAAGGGAGCCGGGAAACAATTTGACTCTGTGGGGTTGGGAGAGGCCTCGGAAGCAGGGCCTGGATACTTCCGTACCATGCAGTTTCTGAGCTCTTATTTAATAAGAGCCAAAGAAAAAGTCCAGACCTATAGCATCTTACAGAGTTTCTCCTTTATAGACACATCTGCATGCTCACAGTGGGGCTGGGATCGTTAGCCGGTGTGCCTCTGCTGCCACTGTGATGTGGTTCCTGTTAGTTCTCCTGGAAGAGGCTTTTGCTCTAGTTTAATAGGACTGCTTAACTTTGAACCAGGGTGCATTTGTTGTGGGGTACATCAAAGCCTCAAGAAGCAGTCTGGGGGTTCCCAGAGGTCTCCAAAGGCCTCGGAAGCATTGGGCCGTGACGAGGAGGAAACACGCTCATTTCCGTGTTCACCAGTGCTGGGCTGCATGGCAGGACCATCCTGCCAGGCTTACCGAGGCTGCTGTGCAAATGCCTCGTCCTTACTTTGAAGTGAGGTGATTTCGAACACCTTGGGCCAGGGCTCCTGGCTAGAGCCTGCGAAGGCATCAGAAAAACCAGATTCCTTCTGTCTTCCCAGGCTGGCCTCACTTTACACAAACAAATGGATTCATTGGAAGACATAGTGATCAGCTGGTGAAATGACTCATAGTATATACCCCCCACACACACACATGAAATTTAAAGAAAAACCTTAAGAAATGGTGATGAAGAAGCCTGTGTGAATGCATGCGGAGGCTGGGGGACAACCCCCAGCGGCATTCCTCAGGTGCCGTCCACCTTGTTTTTTAAGGCAGGTCTCTCCCTGGCTGGAATTTGCTGACCAGGCTCGGCTGACAGTCCAGCGAGCCCCAGGAACTCCCTACTCCACCTCCCCAACACTGGAGTTACAAGTGTATATACTACCAAGCTTAGCTATTGACACAGGTTCTGCAAATCAAACCCAGGTCGTCCCACTTCAAGGCGCGGACTCTACTGTGTGAGCATCTTTCTGCAGCCCCAGGTGGTTGTGACATGACTTGCTTTTATGCTGTTTTGGCACTGAAGTAGGAACCCAGGGCCTTGTGCATGCTGGGTAAGAACTCTACCACTGAGTCATATCGCCAGCCTGTAAAGAGCATCCGACGGGAGGAGAAAGAGACTCTTGAAGGAGGGGTAGAAGGTCCGTGCCCTGGGCAGGGCTAGTATTGGAGAAGTGCATGACTTTCCTTCCTCTTCTCCAGTGGGACCTGAGAGACTTTGCTCTCCCGATAGTCATGCAAGAGGGTTCAGAGAGAGAGAGGTGAAGAGAAGGGAAGGAGAGCAAGGGTCACCATCAAACTCCTGCATAGTGTGAGGTACTCCCATTCCCCATGTGAGGTAAAGGAAGAAGGGGTCTGTGTTTGATAGGGTTTTTATTACTGTGAAGAGACACCATGACCACAGCAACTCTTATAAGCAAAATGTTTAATTGAGGGTGATGGCTTATGGTTTCAGGGGTTCAGTCCATTATCATCACAGCAGGGAGCATGGCAGTGTGCCAGCAGACATGGTGCTGGAGTAGCTGAAAGTCCTACATCTTGCAGGCAACAGGAAGTTGATGGAAAATCACACTGAGAAAAACTTGAGCAAAAAAAACCTGAAAGCCCGCCCCCACAGTGACACACTTCCTCCAACAAAGCCTAATAGTGCCACTCCCTTTCGGGCCCATTTTCTTTCAAACCACCACAGGATCCCCGAGAAGTAAGGTCTCAGGAGAACCTATGTAAGCAGGAAGTGGCCAGCAGGGTGAGCAGGCAGAGGTTCTGCATGCAAGCCAACCGTCTGCCCAAGAGCTGTTTTAGACATTCACATGCTGTTTCCGAGGGTGGAGGGAAAGCCAAGGCCAGGGAGATGTATCCTCAGGCTTTGCGTCCATTAGAAGGGACAGAGAGGTGACAGGGACCCCCACTGAGAGACAAGCTGAGCACTGGTCATTTGACACTCCAGGGGAGCTTGGATCTTGCTCAGCAGTTTAAAGAGACGACTGTACCCTCAGGAATCCCAGCACGACAAAGTACACCTTCATTTCAGAGGTGGGGAAATGTGAGCTGCGTGGAGGTACCCAGGCTTGCGAAGGTCACATAGGAGCCAGGGGGAGAAGATGAACAATCAGCAAAGTCTGTGACAAGAGTCGGGAAATGTGAGAAGGATACGGGGCGGGAGCAGAGCATCCAGACAGAACGGAACTAATGGGCAGCATAAATTCTTTAAGTGATTTCTTATGGTTGAAATTCAACCAGGAATTTACTGTGCAGGTTGGGATGCTGGGGGTCAAGGCTTGGGAGTTTTACCCTGAATACCCCACACATCACCTCATAAAACACAGGCAAACTGGAGTCGTGTCGCCAAGCGTCGGGTCACAAAAACAAAAGCCCCTGAAATATATAGAATTAGACAGAGAGGATTTGGAGATCAAGCCTTCAAGTCCCAGACAGACAGACAGTGGCTTCTCTCTTCACAGGAAATGTAATGAGGTCCCATGACTCCCAGGACCAAGGTAGGTAGACAGCGTGGGTCAGCAGGTGTCACAGTGATGGAGGATCTCGGAGCTTTGCCTGGGGAGACAGAAGAGAATGTCAACTCACCCAGAAAGAGAAGACTTTGGTAGACTGAAGGGATTCTGTCTAAGCCTGGCTTGGTGATTCACTGCGTTTATTGGGGTGACTCACAGACAACCTCACCACTGGGAAGTCCCCTGAGTAAGTTGCAAGCAGCTACTCTGCCATAGTCCCCTCATCCCCAGTCAGCTGCCCACCTCTTAGGTAACATCAGGGAGGGCTGGAACCTTGAGAGGATCTCATGAAGGTTCCTGAGCTCCTGGCAGCAGTGTTCCATGCCCCCAAGAGGAAATGCTAATAGCCCCATCTGGTGATGGTCCAGTCTCCTGAACGCCATCATAGCCTCTCTGATGCAGGAGTGACTCCTGTCCTTGCATCCCCGTCTTCCAGTCCTTTGAAGACATGTGTACCTATTTGAGAAGCACGTAGGCAGGAAGGTCTTCTAAGGGCTCAGCTTCCCTTTCTGGGTACAGCAGGGACCTAGAACTCCTGAACACCGACCTGCAAAAGTGAGCACAGAACAGTGCCCCCCACAGCGCAGGAGGAGAAATGACATCTGAGAGATTGTTCCTGGGGTAAGGTGGATGGCACCTGAGCAATGGAAGTCAAGGTTGTCCTCTGGCCTCCACATACACATGCACACACATCTGCATACATATGCATTACACACACACACACACACACACACACACACACACGAGGTAGCTCTGTGTTGCTTGGTGGGTTCCTAGGGTGGAGTCTGAATAGTGCTTGTACCTTTAATATTATTTTCCCAGCTTTTGATGTTATTTTTACTCTATAATTTTGGCACATTAGTTTCCCAGTAGTCAAGTCCTTTCTCTCTGCCCCTCCCCCCCCTTTCTCTCCCCAGCCCATCCCTATAAACGCTAAGCTCCCTACATGGCTGCTTGCTCTGACCATGGAGCTAGCTTTCTCTGTTTTAGATTTGGCAGGCTACACTTGCATAGACAGACTGACAGAAGGTATAACTTACATGGTGGAGGCAGGAGCCACAGACTTCTCTGCAGCAGCTAGAGCTATGAAAATACCTGACAAGTAGCGACTCAAGAGAGAAAATGTTTATTGTGGCTTGTAGTTCAAGGGGATACCGGCCTCACAGCGGGGGGAGATATGGCAGCAGGAAGGGGCACGACAGCAGAGCAGGAGGCCAGGTGGGCACACTGCATCCACAGCCAGAAAGCAGAGAGTGAACAGGAAGTAGGGCCAGACTACAAAACCTCAAGGCCCACAGCCAGAATCCAACTTATTGTGAGGTTCCACCTCCTAAAGATCCTAAAACCTTCAGTAAACAGCGCCACCAGCTGGTAACTAAGTGTTCAAACATTGATGACAGTGGGGGATGTCTCACGTTCAAATCCCAGCAAATGCCTGCTGGGTAGTCTTAGGTCTGTGAACGTTTAATTTATAAAGATTTCCACAAGTTTCCAGCAGGTCCTCTCTGCTTCGAGTCTCACATTGGCTAAACTCATGCCAGGGCCAACATTTGTTCCCAATCTGACTGCAGATTTGAATCCAGAATATACAAAGAACTATTATAACTCAGCAACTGAAAACAATCAATAAAAGGGGGAGGAAATAATGAATAGATGTTTTCCAAAAGAAAATATACAAATGGCTAATTAGCCCGTGGAAACGTTCAACCTCATTACTCACCAGGAAGTGTGCATTCCAAACACAATAAGATAATCACTTAACAGCTAACACTGACAACAGAAAAACCACCCAACAATAGAAGTAAAGACGTTCAGTCTCTACCAGCTAAAGTGGAAAATTTTGTAAACACAGTGGTTCTGAGTGTCTTAAGGAGTCAATGAATGGAGCAGACATTCTGTAAGTATTTACCTAAGAGCAACGGAAAGAAGTTTAGGGCGCTTTCTCTCCCTCTCCCTCCCTCCCCCCTTCTCTCCTTCTCTTCCCCCTTTCTCTCCTCTATACTGGAAAAAAAAAAAAAACCCAATACCCATCAGTGCATAAGACAGCTCTGACCTTTATGCACAGACTAGAATATTATCACTCAGCTCCAAAAAGGGCTAGACTGGAATGAACGAAAAGCCCTTGATGCAAACTTGGAGTCTTTCATTTCTGAACCCTGTGCCACGTCAGCCTGTTCCTCCTTCTTGCTTTCTCCGGTTTTGTAGCTGGGCTTGTGTGGGTCTCCTCTGAGGGTGCAACTCGTGTAAATAATCACATAGATGGACACAGAAACCCCTGCAGGTGAATTCAGCCCAATGCATGTAGACAGAAGCTCCATGCTGTTCTAGAAGAGGTGAAATCAGCCTGTCTCAGTAGAAACTGGGTCAGGGATTGGGCAGTTGGAGAATAGAAGGGGATTCTGGGAAGGGCACAGGGAAGTTCTGGGGTAGGGTATCTGTTAGAATTGGTAGAACATAGTTGCTTTACTTTAAAATTTGTGTGTCCGTAGAGCTGGGGAGATGACTCGGTTGGCAAAAAGCTTGCTATACAACCATGAAGACCTAAATTCTGTTCCCAGCGCCCTCCCCACCCCCTCAAAAATGCCAGACATGGTGCAACCAGGAGAGGTGGAACCCTGGGACACCCTGGCCAGACACCTTAGCCTCATTGGAGACCTCCAGGCCATGGAGGAGAGGAATGGTGTCTCAAGAGGGGGTGGATAGTGTTCCTGAGGATGATGTTCAAGGTTGTCCCGGGGCCTCCACAATCATGTGCACACACACAGACCATCTCACACATATGCACATCCACAGGCACACATATAAACACACTCACACACGCATTTTAAAAATTCAGTAGTACAGTTTTGCGGCTGTGTGACTGAATTAAGCATGAATGACAACCGAGAACGGCCCATTTTGCTCCAGTAGAACATAGCATCTGGTTCAAACTGGAAACTGTAAAGAGCAACCGAAAGGTAGCTTTTACAGGAATAACCTATTTGTTTAAAAGTTCTCCCTCGCTCCCCAGCTCACGGTACCCTGAAAGCAGCTCCGAGAGCTTCAAAGGAAATGGATGTCAGGGAAGATGGAGGACACGGCTTCTCGCAAAGGAGATAAGAGGGAGGAGAGGCGGGTTGATTTTTCTCCCCAACTTAAAACAGCCTCTTTGTATAATTAAACTCTGCTAATTTGCAAGACCTGGTAGGCAAGCGGAATGCTCAAAGTCCACATTTCAGCAAAATATGCTTTAAACAAAGCAAGAGAAGCAGCAATTATAAATTGTTGTTAATTACAGCTGGAGGCCACAGGGAAGATTAGTAGTCTGTCTTTAAGAAAAGACTCCAGGCCTCAAGTTCATGGGGGTTTGAAAGTAACTGATAGCCCCGTAAACCTCTGTAGAAAGCAGATACTGTCCAGGGGTCTCTGGGACAACTCCAACTCTGTCGCCAGGGAAACCAATCAGCCTTACAGTGTGGAAATGGGAATCTGAATGTGTTTGTCTCGTTCCAAATGAGCTCCTGGGGTGTGGGGCGTAAGTGCAGATCTCTGAAATGTGACCTGAGACAGAGTCACAGGCCAAAGCCAGCTTGTGTCCCTTCCCCCTGCTCCAGATTATAGTTTGTATTTGTTTGGTTTGGTAGCTGATTTTGTTTTACAGACACCCAGAGTGCATCCTAGACCAGCCATGTTCCTAACCAGCCAGGTTGTGGAATTGCTTTGTTGTCTTATTAGCTGGCTCTGGTCTATCTGAGGAGTGATCCCGGGCCCCTGCCGTTCCCTATCCAGCCAGGCAGAGGGATATTAGCAGGACAGGAGTCCAGGCAGATGTAGCTGCCATGGTCAATACTGTGGGGCTCTTGGCACCATGTCTCATCACACTGTGCTGTTGAACCACAGACATGATGCTTCACAAGTGAGGACCAAAGCGACCCTCTTTTGTTTGTGTGTTTGTGTGTGTGACCTCGGAGGCCAGAGGTCAGCGCCAGGCAGATGTTCACCTTTTGATGCAGAGACTCTTGGTTTTATTCGGAATTTATTTGTCTCGGCTAACTGGCCACTAAGCCCCGGCTCTGTATGACTCCACCCCTCCCCCTGCTCTGGGATTGCATGTACCAACACACCCAGCTTTTTCTTAAATTCTAGGGACCAAATTCAGATCTTCTTTTTTTTTTTTTTTTTTTTCAGATCCTCTTGCTTGCAAGGCAAGTGTTTGTGAACCGAGCCATCTTCCCTGCCCTGAGCTGGCTTCACGAACAAACACAAGCTTGCTAAGTGGAGCTTTTGAATTTGGTGGTGGGCCATGGAAGGTGGAGTCAGGTGACCTGAAGGCTGAAAGTGATAGCAAGGGCTGTTGCCACAGAACCATCCTAGATTCCCTGGGATCATGTGATCCTGGGATGTCAAAATCAAGTAGAAGCCTTGAATCTGAGTGAGGACACAGGACAATTGCAGCAGGGAGGAAGGGCTGCTGGGAGAATCCAGCCAACAGTGCTGATCCTGATGACACGGGAGGGGGGGCACTGAAGCCTTATTCAAGGAGGTCTCATCCAGATGAGTCATAGCCACGTACGGGGAGCACAGAGTGCCGGACTGAAGAGAGCATCTCTGTCAGGTACACCAGGTTGGACCAATGCCTGCCCCGTGCTAACAGTAATTCTTGAATTTTGTCATGAGTCGAGTCCATCTCTTGCCTCAGCCTTGCCTGGTCCCAGCTAGAAGGGAGGTGAGCGGATGCTTTGTCATTACAGGGAAGAGGACGAGGAATGGTGGCGCGAGAACATGCCACTGGAGAGAGACTAACGACTCCACTCCAAGCATTTCACAGGGAACACTTGCGCTGAAACTCTTCATTGTTTATCGTAATCATTTTCTGCAACTCAGGCACCTTGATGATGTGGGAGTGTCATATATCAATCTGTTGATTTCATTGGTTAAGTTATAATAAACCAGCTGCTTGGCCTCATGGCTGGAACATAGATGGGAGGAGTAAACAGAATAGAATTCTGGGCGGAAGAGGAAGTGAGGTCAGACTCTGCTCTGCTTCCGGGGAGAGAGCCGACAGCTCGGGAGCACAGACACCATGCTCAGCTCTCCCAGGCAGATGCACGCAATGAAGCTCCTCCAATCCCGGATGGATGTAGGCTAGAATCTTCCCGGTAAGCGCACCTTGGGGTACTTACAAACATCATTAGAAATGGGCTAGACCAGGTGCGAGAATTAGTCTGTAAGGGCTAGAGTTCATGGGCCAAGCAGTTCTTTAAATGAATACAGTTTGTGTGTTGTTATTTCGGGCATGAGCTAGCCAAGCGGCCGGGGTGTTGGGGACGCAGCCCCGCCGCCGCTCTTATTTCAACAGATGGTGCCCAGACGTGTGGCTAACTGAATCCACAAAAAGCCTGAGAAAGCTTGGGAAAGAATGGAGTGAAGCATGTTTTCTTGGTAGCAGAAATTTCTTGGGTCTACTCCGCTTGCTAGAGGCAAGCAAGCGCTCTCATCTAAGAGAGGCTTCCTGACTCAGCTTCAGCTGCAAAACCCTGCAGCTCATTAAGAGGTCCTGCCACGAAACACTTAAACGGTGTTGGTGAAAAGCTGAACGCATGCTTTTCGGTTTTCAGCCGTAGCAGGAAAAAAGTTGTGCTGTTTAAAAATGCCGGCTTTCTGGGCCGTCCTGCCAGGGCAAACTCTGACTGAGGCAGGAGGGCCAGCTACAGAGAGAGGACTTGACTGTTGTCTGTTGTAGCTCGCTTGCTGGCAGGGACCTTGAAACGCCATAGAATTGTGCCTATAAACGCGGCTACAGCCTGTATCTCCGCCATGAGGCTGGAAAGCTAAGGAATGGACTGGATCTAGCTGGCAAAGCCACGGCTTTAATCCTACTCATATTGCTCAGTAATTTAAAGGCTCCTGTGGTCAGAAAAACAGAGAGAGATACAGTAAAGAGATTCAAAGATAAAGAAAATGTTTAAATGATTTACAGTGTGTTAAAAATATATGCAAGCTAAAAGTTAAAAGTTCTTAAAAAAAAGTAAGAAAAAGAGAAGTTGTGTGTGGTAGTACACGCCTTTAATCCCAGTGCCTAGAAGGCAGAGACAAACAGATCTCTGTGAGTTCAAGGTGTGGTAGCAAACACCTTTAATCCCAATGCCTGGGAGGCAGAGACAGGCAGATCTCTGAGAGTTCAAGGACAGCCTGGTCTACAGAGTTATTCCAGGACAGAGATACAGAGAATATAAAATGAAAGTAAAAATAAACTTAATAGAGGTTAAAATAAAGCTCACAAAGATGGAAAATACACAGAGAATCTTGATACTGTATGCTATTATGCTCTCTTTGAATTGTTTGAATGCTGAGGAAGGAGCAACAGATGCTAAAAGATATTTGTTTATAAATGCTGCTGAACTAATCCAACGTAGAGATTTTAATGCCTTGGCTTTGATATTTGGATCTAAGGACGTGATGCTTTCAAAAGGAGTTTCTTATTTTGTTTTCACAGAGGATGAGACCCTGTTCATTTCTTCTATTCCGATATGGTATGATGGACCACGCCCTCCTGAACGGTTGCTGTGAATACCTTCAAAAAATTGCTTCGCTCAACTTCCAACTGAGATGAAACTAGCACACAGGTTATACCACAAAAGACCTAATTAACAGCGCCCCCATTCAGCAGGAAGCAGTTTGGAGAGAAAAAACTACGCCCATGTTCCCAAATATTGTTTACAAATGTTCTTTTACATTTAAAGGGGGATATGATATAGATATGAATAATTTGCATTGGTATGGATTTTAAGGTCAATTTTGTTATATGCATTTTTGATCTTGATTAAGGTATTGTGTTGTGTAGTTCATTTTAAAATGTAATGTATAATTAGGAAATATAAGTTGTTAATGAATAATCATTAATAATAGTTAAGTTTGTAGTCATGTTAGTTAAGATTTTCTAGATGTGCATACATATATTTTAGATAGGCATTCTTCATATTTTTCAAAGATTATAGAATATGGCATTTTAAATGTTTTAATAACTTAGGACTTCTCATGACAATGAGACACTCTGCTCCTGGCATCACCAATCTACTTCAAGAGGAAGATGGGCATCGAAGAGGATCCTTATGGAGTTTGATAGCCATTTGGCAAGAAACTGCTCTTGCCTGGACTATTGCATAAACTGGACACAGAGAACCCGCAGAGAGAGGACTGCTGAACTTGCCTAAAGGTGAGATGATCTTTCGGGGTTCCTGCTTCATGAAAGAGTCTGCAAGACATTCTTCAGGACAAGCAGATAGTGACTGCCTTTGAAATTTCCTGCATTGTGGAAATGTCTGCTGGAAACTATGGGCCTGTAGGCCGAAGATGGATGCCCCAACGGTACAGAGGAACTTTGGGTGACTGTCCAGGCAGCGAGATGTCTCTGTCATTTCTAGAGCTTTGGATGTTAAGTTAAAGCCTTCTTTTTTTTTTTTTTTTTTTTAAACAGAAAAAGGGGAAGTGATGTGGGAGTGTCATATATCAATCTGTTGATTTCATTGGTTAAGTTATAATAAACCAACTGCTTGGCCTCAGCTTGGAACATAGATGGGAGGAGTAAACAGAATAGAATTCTGGGCGGAAGAGGAAGTGAGGTCAGACTCTGCTCTGCTTCCGGGGAGAGAGCCGACAGCTCGGGAGCACAGACACCATGCTCAGCTCTCCCAGGCAGATGCACGCAATGAAGCTCCTCCAATCCCGGATGGATGTAGGCTAGAATCTTCCCGGTAAGCGCACCTTGGGGTACTTACAAACATCATTAGAAATGGGCTAGACCAGGTGCGAGAATTAGTCTGTAAGGGCTAGAGTTCATGGGCCAAGCAGTTCTTTAAATGAATACAGTTTGTGTGTTGTTATTTCGGGCATGAGCTAGCCAAGCGGCCGGGGTGTTGGGGACGCAACCCCGCCACCGCTCCTATTCCAACACCTTGAGGCACCAAGCTCCTGATCGTCCTTAGCCAGTTGGCATGCGGACTCCCAGCCTCTCTTCTCTGCCTTTGTTCACGGCATTCCCACAGCAGCTGGTGTGTCTGGCTTCATTCTGGTGTAGGAGGAGCAAGTACCCTGGCTCCTCAGCCCCAGCAGTACCCAAACTGGGCAGCAGTGGTTCCTATCCAAGTCAGTGTTTGTATGAGAGTTACCAAGTACTTCCTGGGGACTGTGGTAGGAGACCTGACTCTGCCCACATAGTTGGTATCAATAGCTGTGGGTCCCCTTAGTCAGGAGAGCCACCCCTGCTCCTTACCCTAAGTCCCCGAGCGAAGAGGCGTTCCTAAGGGTGACAGGCCCGCTTGGGGTCTGCACACGCAGGGGTGCTCATCACAGAGGACCCTCCACAGCCCCGGGACCTCACAGACAGCCGGGCAACCTTTCATTCGTCTCCCGGCTCAGTGTTAAGAGCTCTTGTACAGGGTGCATGCAACTGGGCCACACAGCTCCACCAGGACCACTTTGAGGGGCGTTGCTAAGCCAGGCTGTAATAGACCCCAAGAGTCCCACCCAGCAAAGCAACTCCCCTCACGCATTGCAATGAAGCCCAATCAAGGTATGTGTCCCAACAGGCCTGCTTTCAGGAGAGTCTCTACCCTCGCTGGGCCTGAATCCCACAGCCTGGCATGTTTGGTGTGCGGCAGTGGGCTTGTGTGTTTTCAGAAATACTATTCGTCATTTGGAAAACACTAAATATAAAATGCTGAAATTTAAATGACTTCCATCATTTATCCCGTCACTGCCAACATTTCAGATTACCTTGTCCCAATTATTTCCACGCAGGTGCTTTTCATTTCATTTCATTTCATTTTAATGGAGCTATAATCACGCGGTGATGGGAAATGTCCGGGGCTATTCCTTTAAGTCTGCTGTTGTGTTTTTGGTTTTTGGGTTTTGATTGCAAATGGATTCTGTGATCCTGAGATTCTAATCTCATGTGTCCCGAGGCCAGGCTGATTGGATGAGGGCCTGAGCCCAGGGAATCCAAGACTAGCCTAGCTCTCCTGCACACAGGTGGAGGTCTGTTCACTATCTTGCTGGGCTACAGAGTCAGACAGCCCTACAGCTCTTTGCTCCAGATCTTCAAATGCAGGTTTTGTGAGGCTGTGAGCACTGGGCCCAAGCCCCCTCTACCCAACAACTCCTTACTCTGCTTTTCCCTTACGGTGGAGCCTCTTCAGGAAACAAAGTGGGGAGCTGGGAGGCAGGGGCTTTCGGAAGGGACAGGTTCCATCTACCCGCTGAAATCAGATGTTTCACACAGGGGGTGGGGAGGGGACAGAAATCAAGAGCCCAGAGTCTCCAGTTTCATTGGCCCACAAGCAGCTGTTCAGCCATGACACAGAGCAGACTCTCAAGTGCCCCAAGTGGGCTGGGGAGACAGCTCAGCTGGTGAGGTGCTTGCCTTGTAAGAACCAGAATTCAGTCTCCAGCATGGTATTAGAAAGGGGGTGTGGTGGGAGGACTCATAATGCCAGCACAGGGGAGGTGGACACGGACAGAGCCCTAGCGTTCACTGGCAGCCAGCCTAGCCTACTTGGCAAGTTCTAAGCCAGTGAGAGACTTGGTCTCAAAAACCATTATGGCCAACACCTGAGAACGGCAGTTAAGGGGTGGCCTCCAGCCTCCGAGTACTTATCCACACACACACACAAGTCTGCCCCGTTCCACAGGGTCTCAGACAGACGCAGCTTTAAAGGGACCATGACCATGGACCCAGGGGAGGAGCCACGGCATTTCCCCTCACTAGGAAGACAGAGGAGGCAATGAAGGAAAACGAATGACCTCCGAAGGTCCCCTGTCCCAGGCCAACAGCAGAAGACTCTTCAACACTTTGTTTGGCAACTCCAACCTGACTGACAGGATAACCTCACCTGGGAGTGGCAGGAGTCACCAGCGGTTCCCACGGGGACAAGCTTGACGACTTCTTGTGCTATACCATGTGGATGGTTCTGGGGACGACAGAGCCTGACTCTCACATCTGGGGGAAATGAAAGAGGAAGGAAGAAAGTGGTAGGGAGGCGTGGAGGTAGAAAAGAAGGAAGAGGGGAGAGAAGGAAAGGAAGAAGGGAGGATTGGCCAGCTGAGTCTACTTGGCCAGCTCCAGGCCAGTGAGAGACTGTCTCAGAAACAAGGTATATGGTTCCTGAGGGGCACCAGAGGTAGTCCTGTGGCTTCTACACACACAATTACATTAGTCTCATTCTCTCCCTCGCTCACACACACACACACACACACATGAAAAGAAGATAACCAAGTTTGGAGTCAGCATGGTACTCCCCTGTTGTGACCCTTTGCTTTGGTGCTAATTTACTAAATATAAAGCATTTAAACTATATCGTTGTCAGTGGAAAATGTAGGACTGTGTGAAGTGTTCGTACAATCAGTTATCATATAGTGAACATACACTCTAACTGTCATCCATATATATGTATGTATATATATTACGGATAAAGAACCTCCATCGAGCTGGATTTGGCGGTGAATGTCTGTAATCCTAACGTTCAGGAAGCTGAGGCAGAAGCTCAAGTTTGAGGCTAGCCTGGGCTACAGAAAGATCCCGTCTTAACAGAGAGAATGAGAATGAGAGGGGGCAGCACTCAAGAGTGGGTGCAGCTATGTAGAAATTCTCTTTGTTTCCTGAGATACTGCCTTTTTATATCTGATTCTATGTCTTTGAGCTACTGAACTCGGGCGAGAAAAGGAGACAACCAGCTCCCAGTGGGCCCTCCAATTCTATCCTGCTTGTCAGTGATGGAAAATGTTAAAGGATTAATATTTAAAACGCATATTTTGGATACAAGAGGCTCTTAGAGTTGTATACATGTTTTCTTTCTGAGTTAGATTCTCCTATGGGTTTACTTTGCTTACATCAGCTGTTTGCTGATTCCAGTTTGCATGCAGGTGTGAGATGCGGAAGGCAGGTTACTCAGCGGGATAATAAGTAATATACCATTACAGTAATGCAGGATTATAAATGGTGCGGGGCTGATGGCGGCAGGTGTAGCACGCCAATCTTCTTAGGCGATGTCTTTTTAAACAGCAGGAAACTGAGCTGTTAGATTGGCATATATCACCTGCTGAAGGGAGCACAAAGGGTCGGTGTGTGTGTATGTTTTACACACACACAAACTCATTAAGGTGCGGACTCCTGGAAATTGCTTTCTCCACCACGATGGAGCGTGACTGATCACGAGTCCAAGCGCACCCATGCTAAACTGAAAAGACCTACAGGTACCTGGCCCAAGGCCACTGCCACTTCAGTTGCTGGTGGAAATGAGTCTTGTAGTTAAGTGAGGTGACGATCCCTCAATTTCTTGGGGGGAGAAAGCCTGTAGGCAGCTGTGGGTTGTGCCAGGGGTGGGGAGGTATGAAGCAGGGCGGGGGTTCCTATATATGGATAGGGTGGAAAGTCTGCTTGCATCAGCAGGCAGCGACCTAGGTGAGTTTAAAAGCTTCCTGCAAACAGGCTCTGGTGTTTTTGAATGCCAGTTACTCATGTCAAACAGTCTAGGGGAGGCCATTGCTTAGGGCCAAAAGCTGCTCTGCTAGCCTATAATAGTTTAGACCAGGCCAGAATGGAGGCAGTCACTAATGCTAAGGGTGTCCATCAAACTGAACTTCGAAACCCGAGCTTTGGGCTAGTTTCCCCCAAAGCAGGAGAGTCCCTTCAGCTGAATCATCAGTGAGGAAGACTTATTTCAACCATGGACGGAGAGAACTCTGGAAAGAGAAGTCCCTTTTATTTGCTCTTGTTTCTGCTTTCTCCGGTGGCCCCTTTCTGTTGGTCACGTCAGCTCAATGGATACTCATCCTATTTCCAGGTTGCAATAAAAAGCTAAATCAGACCTTTAAACTAACCCCCCCCCCCCCCCCCCCCGCTACCTTGTCTCAGATACTCAAATACTGAGCTAAAGGCCGGGATAAAGCAAGGTTAACTTTACCCCCGCTGACTGCTCTACAGCAATGCGAACACCGAGCAAGGAATCTGAATCCCAGCAAGGCCCAGTCGTTCAAGGAGGCTTCCTATGGTCCCAATTGTTACACAGGAGCTGACTTGGAGCCTGGGGTGAGGGTCTCAGGGACGGAACTCAGGATACCCGAAGCAGCAATGGCAAGGTACCTGACATTCCCACGCACGTGAGTTTGTTACACAGGAGCACCGGGCACCTTAGGGACCTGTCCCCAGACCTTGCAGACAGCCACCACGATAGAGCTCCACGGCACGGAAATATGCGCGTGCGCAATGTGTGCGTGTGGGGGGCACGCAAGTTGGAAGCGCATGCGCGGCTACGGGACTGTAGTTTCCGGGACGGCAGGGGCGTGACCTTCCGCGTACGGGGCGGGGCCTGACCGCCCATTCTGACCCCGACCTTACTGCACCTCGACCCCCAAAACGCATGGCGCGACACATGTTCCTCACCGGGCCTCCAGGTGACCCAGGGCCTGCCAGACTTGGCGGGGAGGGCGCGCGGCCTGGATAGTCCGTATCTCCGGCCTTGGCTGCAGTTGCGATCTGGCTTGGTGCATCGCAGCCCGGCGGGAGGGAAGGCCGGGAAGAGTGCGGTGCGCGGTTCTCAGGTCCCCAGCGTCCGGCTGTCACCATGGTCTTAAGCCACGGAGGCCGGGGTGTACTTTGTAGACTTTGGAGGCCTTTGAGCCGTCAGAGGCGTTGGAGAGGAGCAGAGGACGGTGGTAGGAGACGCGCCAGCCTTGCCAGCACGCCCTGCGTTTGAAACCGGGATGCATTGCGTCCCCAGCATTCTGCTGTGGTGTTCACCGGAGATTGAATGAACTCAGGACCACATGTTCCCCTCCCCAAGCTCCCCCCCCCACCTCCGCTTCCCCCCTGAGTACTAGCAGAGCCAGGGGTGCGCTGGGCATCCTGGATTAGTAAGCACCACACCCCCAGCCTTGTCTCCCAAGTTGTTAGTGCTCCGCCCCTTGCGCTGCAGGACTCACCCCTGCGGTCTCTGGAGTCCCCTTGCTTTTGTACTCACTTTACTGTCTGATTATTTGCTGACCACTAGCAAACCCAAGGGTTTGGATTTCCAAGTCCCTGTTCACACATGACCTCCTTTGAGCTGTGTGTGCGTTTTAGAAGAAGCCTGTTACATTCACACTAGTGTAGGCCTGCAGCTCTCGAGGCTGAACTTTTGGTTCCCAGTGCCTTTACCCATGGCCAGGTAGGGCCCTAGGTGATGCAGGGGTGTGTGTGTCGCTTTTCATTGCTGTGACCGAACACGGGAGACAAGCAGCTTCAAGGAAGAAAGATATTTTGAGGCTCACGTTTTGGGGGACACAGTCCAATATGACAACCAAGGCCACAGTGGTCAGAGCAGCCTGGTTCATGGCAACGGAAGCTGCTGGGGCTGCTGTTTCATATGGTGCTAACCAAGAAGCAGAGAGTTTGGGCTGGAAACCCATAGGTCTGCAACCCTCGGGCCCTCTGTTACTGACCCAGCTTCATCATCCTGGCTTCCTACCCTAAAAGTTTGACAGCAAGACCCCTCCCTCCCCACACACAAATCATCAACCTGATCAAACACACGAGCAGGTGGGGGAACACTTTAGATTTACACAAGCATAAATCCGTTGAGCATAAATCTCGGACAGTGGTTTTCAACCTTCCCTATGCTGCGGCCCTTTAATACCCATTCCTCATGTTGTGGTGACCCCAGCCCTGAAAATTACTTTGTTGCTACTTCATAACTGTAATGTTGCTACTGTAATGAATTGTGTTGTAAATGTCTGTTTTCTGATGGTCTTGGGTGATGTCTGTGAAAGGGTTGTTCAACCCCCTCAAAGGGGGTCATAACCCACAGTTTGAGAACCACTGATCTAGGAGGAAAGGAAGCTGGGCTCCACATGCATTCCGGACTGTGTTAGATGTGACTTCATGCCGCTCTGTCACCCCTGGTCTCTACTGGGAATGAAAATGCCCACACCTGGAGTAATCAGCATGGCAGTACAGTTAATAGTCGTGAAACCCATTTGCAGCCCGCTCCATTCCCAGTGGTGGCCCTGCAGGCGAGGTAAAATGTCCTGACCCATCTCCTTCTTTGTCTCTTCCAGGGGTTGGCAAGACAACCTTGATCCAGAAAGCCAGTGAGGTCCTGCAGTCCTCCGGCATGCCTGTTGATGGATTTTACACACAGGAAGTCAGGCAGGGCGGGAGGAGAATAGGATTTGATGTGGTCACCCTGTCCGGCGCTCGGGGGCCTCTGTCCAGAGTTGGGTACGGGTGTTCTGTTTCTTCGTGTCTTTTGTCTCTAGCCTGTACTGTCCACACTTTGAGGGCAGTTCTTCTCTGTGTGAGTGTGCATGTGTGTGGAGCATGTATCTGTGCAGAGGCCAGGGGAACACACTGGTATCCTGCTCTGCCACTCTCTGCCTTAGTCCCTCGAGACAGGGCCTCTCGCTGAACCTGGAGCTTGCATGCGGGCTGGCAAATCCCAGAAGTCTCCTGCCTCTCCCCCTGCAGGACTGGGCCTACAAGCATGCATGGCCATGTCCAGCGGTTTCCATCAGTGCTGAGGATTTGAACTTGCAGCCAGTGTTCTTGTATGCTGAGCTGTCTCGCCATTCTGGGAGTTACTTTCTTATGATTTCCCTATCGCCGACTCCCCTAAAAGCCATCTGTGGGGCCCATATACGTTTCTTTGCCTATCATTGGACTGAAAGTCTAACTGGACTCAGGGATAGCCAGGTCACCCAGTCTGTCTTGGACCTCCAGAAAAAGAAAACAGACCATCCTGTGAAAAAGGATTTTAAAAGTCCTGTGTGATCTAAAACTCTGGCCACAAATCATACACATTTCTCCTGTGGTTCTTAGCTCTGTCTAGTGCTAGTATTTACTTTTTAACTATTATTCTTTGGAGGCACTTAAGATTGCATGCAGGGCTTTTCCCATCTTAGGCAAGCCTCTATTGCTAAGCTGCCTTCTCAGCCGTCTGTTTAATATTGATCTTAATTTTGTATTGTTTTGATACAAGGTCTTGCTATCCAGCGCCAGCTGGCCTGGAGCTCACAGGGGTCCTGCCTTTGCCTCCCAGTGCTGGAGTTAAAGGTGTATGTTACCACACCCACCACTCCCTATTTACTTTTTATTTTGAGAAAGTCTTAAGTTGCCCACGCTGGCCTTCAGTGTTTTGTCCTCCTGCCTCAGCCTCCTGATTGGTTAGGATGATGGCAGGCCTGCACCATCAGGCTCAGACAGACAGGCTCAGCTCTTGTGCAGTGGCATGTGGGCCCATGGGAGTTGCGGGGACTTCACTGTTACACTCCAAGACTGACATTGGCAGAAGTAGTGTTGACATCATCAAGGCCCCGATTTCAGGAGAGAAACCCCAGCGGGCCCAAACTTACACACTCCCACCCTGGTGTGGGTGATTGATTGGTAAGGGTGTGTGCGGAGTGGCTCAGCGGAACAGCCCATCCCCAGAGGTCAGTGGAGAGCCCGCATCAGTGTCTTTCCTTTCAGGTCACAGCCTCCACCTGGAAAGCCCGAATGCCGAGTGGGGCAGTATGTGGTGGACCTAGCGTCTTTTGAGCAGTTGGCACTACCCATCCTAAGAAACGTGAGTCCACATTTTCTGTCTCAAAAGCCCATTGGCCTCTGTGCTCTGTGGGATGCGCTGGCCACCTGAACACAGTGGCTTCTTTTCTGTAATCGGGTTGTGTCTCACAGTTTCAAAAGTCTTCCAGCATCGAGCCTTGCTGAAGATAGACGCCTTACTCTGCTGTCACTCTGAGCTGTCACATGCCCCAAAGCATGTATAAAGTACTTCAGCTTAGGGAGGCTCTAATGCAGATCTATATCCCCCGCTCTGTGCTGCACAGAGCTAGCTGCAGTGTGGGCTCCGTGGATACTCTGTACTGCTGCTCCCTGTCCCTCTGCTCTGTGCTGCAGCAGAGCTTACGGCATGTGCTGTGCACTGCTGTGCACCAGATAGGAGGAGCCTGGAGCTGCTAAGGAAGTCTCCGTCTTCAGAGGCCTGGGTCCTGCAGTCTGTGCTGAGCTGTAGCTGCTGCTCCTAGGATCCCACTGAACTCCCCCCACCTCCTCCTCCCTTCTTCCCTCAGTCCCTCTAGGAATCCCCCCACATGTCTGCTCTGGGCTGTGGTGGCTGCTCTGTCACTAGCAGCTGGGGGCAGGCGGAGAATGATATATCTTCTTGTTTATTTCCCCTGGGGTCCATGCCTCCCTCCCATGCTCAGGCAGCAGTGAGAAGTGGCTGATGACATTCTGAGTGCAGAGCCCGGCTGTGGGCATTGGATTCATATAAAGAATTGATTTTTGCTCAGCCAAGCCATGCTTGGTGTCTGGCTTTGGGCTTATGTAAGAGCTCCTGTGTGCTTGCTGACCAAGTCAACAATTTGTCTCTTTGTTTTTAATGGAAAAAGAAAATAGAAACTGCTCATATTTTTATAGTCACCCATGTTTCTGTAATCATTGTGACTGTAATCTCAGGCCACCAAACTGGACTTGGATTGAGTAATCACTGTGGTCTGTGGTTGCTGCTCTACCTGGGCTATGCAGACATGGGTTTATCTACCCAAGAGGAGTCCTAGCACATCCTGTCACCTGGGGAGGGTCTGCAGGCGGAGGCTGAGTGAGAAGGGTTGAGCATCCCAGTGTTGTTGGTGAGTGTGGTCAGTGAGCATCCCAGCGTTGTTGGTGAGCATGGTCGGTGAGTGTCCCAGCACTGTTGGTGAGCGTGGTTGGTGAGTGTCCCAGCACTGTTGGTGAGCGTGGTTGGTGAGCGTGGTTGGTGAGCGTCCCAGCACTGTTGGTGAGCGTGGTTGGTGAGCGTCCCAGCACTGTTGGTGAGCGTGGTTGGTGAGTGCTCCAGCGTTGTTGGTGAGCTAACTGGTTCTGGGACTCAGGCAGCATCTTTACTCTTAGTAGGTTTTCCTGTTGTGGCTGAGAATTTCAAATCAGCTAGAATGCTGGCCAAACCCAGGTGCAGGACAGGTGAGATACACAAGGCAAGGGTGATATGCAGCCCTTGGAAGTGGCCCTCACATGTTGTCTTTTGGGGACATGGGGGCCACCCAGATGCCAGGCACAGTGACTGCTGTGTGGCCAAGAGGCATTCCAGCTGAGTTGCACGGGGAGGTCCTAGAATTGAGAGCAGCCTGGTGCTGTCTTATTCAAATTCAGCCTGGTGCTGTGGGCCATGACTCGGGAGCTCAGAATCTGGGCTAGGTCCACAGGGCA